CCGAAGTGAGCCTCTGGTTGTTGAGAGCACCCGCTGGCCAGCCCTGGTACTGCAGCCCACAAGGCAGGTGAGTCCCACCACTATTGGCAAGTCCATTCCTGACAGGGACTTTAACGGCATATTACTTGTATGATAAATTTCAACAATTCAAAAGAGTTTTTTTTTTATAAAAAACAGTATGACATTTTATTTTTACAATCTTCAAAAATAAATATAAAGCTACAATACATATTGCGGCGGTGTCATCAGAGACGGTATTGCCAATCTAATCATGGATCATGCGCGGTTCGCATTGGACGCCCTTCGAGATCAACAAAAATCTCTTCTTCAGAAGTGCTCAAGAAGGCATGACGTATGATTCCATGTGAGGGAAAAACCGCCAGGAAATATTAAGAACAAATTGTTATGCGAACACAGACATGGATTTCTCATATATCTCAGGCAAAAATGACGAAACAAAAATGAAAAAGGAAAAAAATGGGACCAGTGGATGAAAAATGGCACCCAAACGCCTCCTGAAGGGGCCTCGCCCAAATGCACCCTCAACAAGATTACCTGCTGGTCGGTACTGATAGGGCATTGCTACTATGAATGCGAAGCGATGACCACAAGGAATTTGCATGAGAAAGTGTTGATGACCTGATAAAAATCAGGACTGAGATGTGAAAGACAGCCCAATATGGGGCAATATACCAGGTCTATCCAAGGAAGCATGCTAGATGGCTGTGAGCCCTAATATGCCTTCTCCAGGTCAGGGGCTCAGAATCATGAAAGCCACATGCAGCCAGGAAATCAGCATATTCCGAGGGAGACCAGAAATGGCAGCCCCCTGGTCTCTCTCTTGTCAGGAGTACTTTAACCCCCCTGGCGGTATTCCTGAGTGTATCTCGGGGTAAAGTTTCAGCACCGCAAGCAGTAACCCCCCCCCGAGCTACACTCAGGAATACACTGCAGCGTTGCTCCGGGATTCCTTCTGCACTTTGTCCCCCCTGCATGTGTGTCCCCGGTAATGTCCTCCGGCTGATGGGTCTTCTGGGTTCCGTTCCCTGCGACGCATGGGGGACGATACTGGCGGGAAATTTGAAAACTGTAAAAGTGAAATTCACTAAAATCTGATAGAATTACATTCCTGTATCAAACCATTTCACATACATGTTGTCCCGAGTGCTTTGTCCGGCGCCCTGCCTGCATTTTTACTGTTCTTTCTGCCTGGAAACTGAGAAACGTCCATGGCGTCCAAAAAGCGTCCCTTTAGGTTAAAAGCGGTTTTAGACCGGCTAGAGAACAGCGATAGTAAATCAGAACCACTTGCAGAATTGAGTGATAATGATTGGTGGGGGAAATTCCTCATCAGACACTGAAAACGATTCTGCGACTGAGCTCAGCGATGTGCGAACTTGGCGCTCTATTTCACATTTCAGTGTTTTTTGGTTTGATTATATTATTGAATGAAATTTATTATTATATTATTATTTTTTATGATTATTTATTAAATTATAATTTATGATTTCATGTTTCAAATTTTATCCTCCCCGGGATGTTTACTAGACTCTTGTTTGGACAGATTTCAGTGAGTTATTCCTAAGAATTACAGGCCTACAATAAAAAAAAAATAATATTTCCATGCAAAAAAATGTACCGCTTTGAGCACAGAAATATGGACATCATCAGACCGCTAGGGAGGTTAAAGAGGTAATCCTGACAGACTTCCTTGATTTATATACCGCGCATTATCCATGCGTATCTGGTGAGTGCGCATTTTACCTATTCTGCTTACTGCTCTCAGAACTCGGCTGAATTAGCATACTATTGGGAATAACAGTGTCACCTGGGGCCGCAATTATTTTGATATATATTTCACTTTATGGACTTTAACACATCAGAACTGTTTATATTTAATTTTATAATTCATAATCAGACCACTAGGGAGGTTAACAACCAAAACAAAAATATAGCTCAAAACTAACACATTTCTGAAAGAATAAAATTGCTCTGGTTGCTATATTTCACATTTCAGTGTTTTTGGTTTGATTATATTATTGAATTGAATTTATTATTATATTATTATTTTTTACGATTATTTATTAATTTATAATTTATGATTTCGTGGTTCAAATTTCATCCTACCCGGGATGTTTACTAGACTCTTGTTCGGACAGATTTCAGTGAGTTATTCCTAAAAATTACAGGCCTACAATAAAAAAAAGACATATTTCCATGCAAAAAAATGTACCGCTTTGAGCACAGAAATATGGACATCATCAGACCGCTAGGGAGGCTACAAGGAACCTGTCTCAAAGGAAATATGAAGACTGCAATAGCTGACCTCAACTTTTGAAGACATCCACTTCATTCGGTACATTAAGTCATTGATCCTTAACAGGTAAGCAGATAATGAGTTCCTGATCTGCATACTTAGTTCAATCACTCAAGCAATTAAAGCTAATGGGTCAGAAGAACAACCAGAGAGATAGCTTTTGTGAAGAAGGTCAGCAGTTGTAGTCTTCGTAGTTGTCTCACTACACATTTACCGTAAAAGGTATATTCAGGTTTTACCTAAATTGTCCCTCAAACCCCCTCTCCCCCTTTAGAGCAAATTCCAGCATTCTTTTCTTTCACCTTGTGTCAGTAGACATCATCGCCAGGCAAATTCTTGTAGGGGCAGCTATTCCTACTGATGTAGGCATGCTTGAAGAACAACATCTCAAAAGAGCTCTTTCCTTCTCCAGTGGAGGGCGATTCTGTGAAGCATTTGCAACACTTTTGACCATATTAGAAAGTCCTGCACCAAATTCATTAAAACTGTGCAACCAGGGCTGGGACAAGGGGTGGGCAGGAGGGGCGGCTGCCCTGGGCACTGTGGTATCATGTGAGGTGGGGGGAACAGTGACGAATGTGGTGCCCGACCTCTGCCCTCTCGTGACAAAGGCCCGGCCAATCTCACACCTTGCTGTCATATAACAATTTCTCAGCTTGAAAATAATTGCTTGCATAAAAAAAAGTGTTGTTTATGGAAAGACATTTCAATTTGAAACCTCAAGCATATTTATTACAGAAATGTTCAAATCATTTCTGTAGCATGCAGAGGTGGTCAACTAGTAATGGTGTATAGCAGGGGTGGACTGACCATTCGAGCACTCGGGCTCTGCCTGAGGGCCCAGGGTCAGTAGGGGGGCCCCATGAAATGCCCCTGGTACCTTTTTTATAGGCTTTTTTGAGTGTGGGCAAGGACACAGGGGCCCCATGATCCCCTATTGCCCCATGAGTTGTCAGTCCACCCCTGATCCAGCGTATCCAAATAAGTTAACGAGCCTGGAATAGAGCCAATTAAATAGGTCTGACATGATCTCATCTATTCATGCCTAAGACACAGTGGGGTGGATTTACTAAAGGCAAACAGACTGTAACCACTTGTTACCGAACTTTAGCTTCTTCCACGACTATGCTTCCACTTGATCCTAACCTGCATCCACTTGTTACCCACCTTTGGCTTGTTTATTGACTACACTTCTGCTTGATCCCTCCCTACTATATCTGTTACTGGACCCCGGCTTGCTCATCTCCTGGTGGGACAATCCTAAGGACCGCAACCCGGTAATAACACAGAGCAAAACCCATCCCCACCATCAGGAGCTCTGGTAAACACTGGTTAGTGCTTAGACTCTACACCTTGGGTGAGCTTGCATCGTCTGCCAGGGTAACCTGCTTTCAGGGGCGGACTGACCATTGGGATACTCAGGCACTGCCCGAGGGCCCCGGGGTCAGTAGGGGGCCCCATGAGGTGCCCCTGGCACCTTTCATAGGCTTTTTTGGATGTGCTTTGAGTGTGGGCAAGGACACAGGGGCCCCATGATCCCCTATTGCCCGGGGGCCCCATGAGTTGTCAGTCCACCCCTTGTGTATAGGTTCACTAGGGGTATCTATACTCCGTCCTGGTTAGCAAGTGATGGTCCAGGGGTGCCCATTGACCTAACAAGGAAATATTCCTTTTTATTAGGGATGGATATTCAAATATATTCATCGTACTTTCTTGTTTAGTCCATTACATGATAGACGGTGAGGAATATTGCCTCAATATCCCCCGGAACCCTAGATTACTTGGCGTGTATGTAAACCCAATTACTAAGATCTCATATTAGTTTTAACATGTAAAATAATATTTGGTGATCCTGCTATGAAGGTCATTGTTAGGATCTTGGCTCGTATATAACGTGACAACACTCTGTCCTTGCCCCCCCAGTTTTGCATCTGTTTTGTCACCCCTTCAAATGGCCTTCAGATAGAAACTACAAGTGGCTGTTTTAATGCTGCTTATGTAGGCATTGTCCACTGTTGTCACTTTCAGGAATCCCACCTCAAAGCAAAACTAAACTGTATTTTTTGTAGTCTTTAGGGTTCAATATTGAGTTGGCCCCGCCCTTTGCAGCTATAACAGCTTCAACTCTTCTGGGAAGGCCGTCCACAAGGTTTAGGAGGGTGTCTATGGGAAGGTTGGACCATTCTTCCAGAAGCGCATTTGTCAGGTCAGGCATTGATGTCGGGGGGGGGGGAGGCCTGGCTCGCAGTCTCCGCTCTAATTCATCCCAAAGGTGTTCTATGGGGTTGAGGTCAGGACTCTGTGCAGGACAGTCAAGTTCCTCCACCCCAAACTGGCTCCTCCATGTCTTTATGGACCTTGCTTTGTGCACTGGTGGGCAGTCATGTTGGAACAGGAAGGGGCCATCCCCAAACTCTTCCCACAAAGTCGGGAGCATGAAATTGTCCAAAATGTTTTGGTATGCTGACGCCTTAAGAGTTCCCTTTACTGGAACTAGAGGGCCAAGCCCAACCCCTGAAAGACAACCCTACACCATAATCCCCCCTCCACCAAACTTTACACTTGGCACAATGCAGTCAGGCAAGTACCGTTCTCCTGGCAGCCTACAAACCCAGACACATCCATTGGATTGCCAGACAGAGAAGCGTGATTGGTCACTCCATAGAACACGTCTCCCCTGCTCTAGAGTCCAGTGGTGGCATGCTTTACACCACGGCATCCAACGCTTTGCATTGCACTTGGTGATGGAAGGCTTGGATGCAGCTGCTCGGCCATGGAAACCCATTCCATGAAGCTCTCTACGCACTGTTGTTGTGCTAATCTGAAGGCCACCCAAAGTTTTGAGGTCTTTAGCTATTGACTCTGCAGACAGTTGGTGACTTCTGCGCACTCTGCGCTTCAGCATGCGCTGACCCCACCCTGTCATGTGACGTGGCCTACCACTTGGTGGCTGAGTTGCTGTGGTTTCCAGTTGCTTCCACTTTGCTATAATACCACTAACAGTTGACCATGGAATATTTAGTAGCAAGGAAATTTCACGGATGGACTTAGTGTGGCAACGTATCACGGAACCACGCTTGAGTTCACTGAGCTCCTGAGAGCGACCCATTCTTTCACCAATGTTTGTAGAAGCCGTCTGCATGCCTAGATGCTTGATTTTATACACCTGTGGCCATGGAGATGATTGGAACACCTGAATCACATGATTGGAGGGGATTGGAACACCTGAATCACATGATTGGAGGGGATTGGAACACCTGAATCCAATGATTTGGAGGGGTGTCCCAATACTTTACTAAAGTGTATTTCTGAATACCTACCAGTCTGCTACCATGCAGATTATTGTCCAGCATGAAATTGGCTTCAAAAGGGATATAGATATGACAGGTCTCAAAGATCTATTTTTCATAGGAGGGGTGTAGAGGCCTACGCCATGCTGATACCTCCTAGCATAGGAGTGCTTGGGTTCAAAATACTACCCAATAACCAATGAAGGTTCTGACTATATGGTCATAATTTTAGAAGCTATGAAACATGATGAAGTTTTAGACTGTTGGCTGATAATCAGTCTTGGCTGACATCAGAAATGTGTATTCCACAGATTTTCACTAAGGTATTTATGACCCAATCTCTGTTAGTTCTCTGGATTGCTCAAGCTTGCGAGGGTGACAGTTTTATTATAATTCCCAGACTGGAATGGTGGATTGGGCTAATAGACATGAGAGGTCCTGTATCTGCCCAAGTCTGATAAGGCTCTGGCATCAGTTAACAGTTCTATATTAGACCAGAGCAGGGGCGGACTGTCAACTCATGGGGCCCCCGGGCAATAGGGGATCATGGGGCCCCTGTGTCCTTGCCCAAACTCAAAAAAGCCTATGAAAAAGGTACCAGGGGCATCTTATGGGGCCCCCTACTGACCCTGGTTCCTCAGGCAGTGTCCGAGTTTCCAAATGGTCAGTCCGCCCCTGGACCAGAGGCTTCCTGGGGGATGAAGAGAAGGGAACCACTGCTGCTATTCACCAACTTGTGTTACAAACTTTCATGGCTGAAGCCTGAACAACATGGTCTCCTTGCCCTTTTGTACAGCTTTATGAGGGCTCAGTATGCTTTACCATTACAGGCATCACAAGAAGATTGAGGGAAGGGGATCTGTGTTGGGAAGGGGAATTTGGGGGACGGCAGGGAGTAAGTATTCTTCTAGAGAGGGAAATTTGGGGATGTGCTAGGAGTGGTGATTTGGGGGGGATTTGTGCTGGGAGGAGGGATGGGGAATAGAATTTGCACTAGGATGGTGGTTTTGGGAGTTTGTGCTAGAAAAGTTGATATGATAAAGAGTGGAGGTGTTTTGTGCTAGGAGGGGATTTTTTTGCGGGGGGGATATGTGTTTGGGGCATATGGTGAGACAGAGGATTTGAGCTGAGGGGGGATAGGGGCAAAGATTTGTGGTAGGAGGGGGGATTTCAGCAGGGGGGGTGGATTTTTACTGGGAGGGGTGTGAATTTATGCTTAGGGGGTAACCATGCAGATTAGTACTCGATTTTTGGGGGGGGGGGGGGGGGTGAAGAGGATTTTCACTGACACACAATGCTTATGTATCTTGGGGGGTGCGCATGTTCGCCCCGGGGCTCTAGATGACTTTGTCCCGGCACTGTGTGCAATAAGTTTCTTGTTATTTCTGACACGTGTAACTAATTCATGTAGTTGCTATATTATATGACGTCAGGGGCGGACTGACCATTTAGCTACTCGGGCACTGCCCAAGGGCCCGGGGTCAGTAGGGGGCCCCATGAGATGCCACTGGTACCTTTTTATAGGATTTTTTGGGTGTGGTTTGAGTGTGGGCGAGGACACAGGGGCCCCATGATTTCCTATTGCCCAGGGGCCCCATGAATTGTCAGTCCGCCCCTGTATGACCTTTTTACATTCTGGCGCACTAGCTGGGACAAATTTATTAAGAAATACTGCTATATCAGTGATAACAAATGTGGAGATAATGAGGACCTGTGTTGCATGTAAAAGTATTGTGTGCAGAGGTGGACTGACAACTCATGGGGCCCCCGGGCAATAGGGGATCATGGGGCCCCTGTGTCCTTGCCCAAATTCAAAAAAGCCTATGAAAAAGGTACCAGGGGCATCTCATGGGGCCCCCTACTGACCCCGGGCCCTCGGGCAGTGTCCGAGTTTCCAAATGGTCAGTCCGCCCCTGATTGTGTGACATACAAAATTCTATCTTGAGACAAAATTCTGAGTTTATTCTACAAAACAGATTCATTTACTCCCTATCGACAGTTACATAATTCTGATCTGAAGACAGATTTCTAATCAGCGTATGGGACTCTTCCTGAATTACAGGACATGCGAAGAAACTTTGAAGTGAATTTTGAAGAACTTTGAAGTGAAGCCAACAGCATTGTACAGGGCTTTTGCTTGAAGCAAATCAAATGTATGCATGTGGATGGGAGCAGAGAGGAGCGGAGGATAGGCAGAGTTCTGTAGTCCAGCAAATAGGGCTGACAATGATGGTTGGGTTTCCAGAAAAACAGAAAGGGTACTGTGTTGTCAGCCCAATTAGGAAGTTAGGTGTCACGGTCAGGGGTCAGGCCCGGAGACCACTAGCCATAGCAGTAGCGAAGGAAAAACAGTGAGTATGGTCTTAGTCACAAGGCTGACGGTTCCCACTGGCCAGCTGAAAAGTGCAGAAGAACGCTCAGGGGCGGACTGACAACTCATGGGTCCCCCTGGGCAATAGGGATCATGGGGCCCCTGTGTCCTCGCCCACGCTCAAACCACATCCAAAAAAAGCCTATGAAAGGTGCCAGGGGCACCTCATGGGGCCCCCTACTGACCCCGGGCCCTCGGGCAGTGCCGACTATCCCAATGGTCAGTCCGCCCCTGGAAGCAGGTTACCCTGGCAGACGATGCAAGCTCACCCAAGGTGTAGAGTCTATGCACTAACCAGTGTTCACCAGAGCTCCTGATGGTGGGGATGGGTTTTGCTCTGTGTTATTACCGGGTTGCCGTCCTTAGGATTGTTCCACCAGGAGATGAGCAAGCTGGGGTCCAATAACAGATATAGTAGGGAGGGATCAAGCAGAAGTGTAGTCAGTAAACAAGCCAAAGGTGGGTAACAAGTGGATGCAGGTTAGGATCTAGTGGAAGCATAGTCGTGGAACAAGCTAAAGGTCGGTAACAAGTGGTTGCAGGTTAGGATCAAGTGGAACCATAGTCGTGGAACAAGCCAAAGGTCGGTAACAAGTGGTTGCAGGTTAGGATCAAGTGGAACCATAGTCGTGGAACAAGCCAAAGGTCGGTAACAAGTGGATGCAGGTTGGGATCAAGTGGAACCATAGTCGTTGAACATGCCAAAGGTCGGTAACAAGTGGTTGCAGGTTAGGATCTAGTGGAAGCATAGTCGTGGAACAAGCCAAAGGTCGGTAACAAGTGGTTGCAGGTTAGGATCTAGTGGAAGCATAGTCGTGGAACAAGCCAAAGGTCGGTAACAAGTGGTTGCAGGTTGGGATCAAGTGGAACCATAGTCGTGGAAACAAGCCAAAGGTCGGTAACAAGTGGTTGCAGGTTGGGATCAAGTGGAACCATAGTCGTGGAACAAGCCAAAGGTCGGTAACAAGTGGATGCAGGTTGGGATCTAGTGGAACCATAGTCGTGGAACAAGCCAAAGGTCGGTAACAAGTGGATGCAGGTTGGGATCTAGTGGAACCATAGTCGTGGAACAAGCCAAAGGTCGGTAACAAGTGGATGCAAGTTAGGATCAAGTGGAACCATAGTCGTGGAACAAACCAAACGCTAAAAGTGTCAGCTATTGCAAACAAGCTAAAGGTAACAAGTGGTTGCAGGTTGGAATCAATTGGAAGCATAGTCGTGGAACAAGCTAAAGGTCAGTAACAAGTGGTTGCAGGTTGGGATTAAGCAGAAGCGTAGTCGAGGAACAAGCCAACAAGCTGTACATGCTGTGGTGCAGCACTGAAGTTGCAGAGGTATTGGGGAATGGTAGTAGCTAGCATCAATCAGGCTTTCCAATCCAGTATTGCTATAGAACCCAAACATTGAGGTTGGTTCACTAAAGGCAAATAGCCTGTGCATTCTGCAAGTGCAGTTGCTCCAGAGCTTAGCAAACGAGGAGAAGATCTGCTGACTTCCATCATCCAATCATGTGCAAGCAAAAGTGCTATTTTTTTTGTTTTCCTTGCATGTGATTGGGTATTCTTTGCAAAGTGCAGATTTATCTAATTTACTCAGCTCTGGAGCAACTGAAGTTGCAGAGTGCTCAGTCTGTTTGCCTTTAGTAAATGCACCCCACTGTGTCTTAGGCATGAATAGATGAGATCATGTCAGACTTATGTAATTGGCTCTATTCCAGGCTCGTTAACTTATCTGGATACGCTGGATCAGGGGTGGACTGACAACTCATGGGGTCCCCGGGCAATAGGGGATCATGGGGCCCCTGTGTCCCTTGTCCACACTCAAAAAAGCCTATAAAAAAGGTACCAGGGGAATTTCATGGGGCCCCCCTACTGACCCCAGGCCCTCGGGCAGTGCCCGAGTGCTCGAATGGTCAGTCCGCCCCTGCGCTGGATAAGCACAACACCTCCCTCTTTACCAGAGTGCATTGATCATATGGGTATTCAGGGCTGGATCTATGAGGATGCTGGCGTGGGCTGTGCACCCCAGATTTTATCTGTGCCCCTCACAGCTCTCTGAGAGCGCATCCACTAATCAATGAAAAAGTCTGATGCAGACAGTTGATACACTTTGATGGTAAATATCAGTTTAATGGGGAACTCTGATTTGGGACACCTGATGTAAGGGGGCACTCTGATGGGGGATGGGGACATCTGATAGAAGGGGGCACTCTGATGGGGACACCTGATGTAAAGGGGCATTTTGATGGGGCCACCTGATGGAAGGGGGAACTCTGATGGGGACACCTGATGTAAGGGGGACAATTAGAAGACGCCGATGTGAAGCCAAGCTATCTGCAAGAAGTCCCCGCAAAGTCCCACTGTTGGAAAAAAGACGTGTGCTGAAGAGGTTACAATCTGCCAAAGAGCACATTGACCGGCCTAAAGAGAAATGGCGCAACATTTTGTGGACTGATGAAAGTAAGATTGTTCTTTTTGGGTCTAGTGGGCGGAGACAGTTTGTCAGACGACCCCCAAACACTGAATTCAAGCCACAGTACACTGTGAAGACAGTGAAGCATGGTGGTGCAAGCATCATGATATGGGGATGTTTCTCATACTACGGTGTTGGGCCTATTTATCGCATACCAGGGATCATGGATCAGTTTGAA